GCTAAAAAGAACACTTGTTTCGTATCTCCTCAATTTCAGAACACTGCCCTTGTTGCCGCAGCCAGTAGCGGAATCTTCAGCGTCGACATATCGAATGACCTGCACTAGCATGGTCACTTGGAAGAAAAAGTTAAATTGGCTTATAAAAAGCTCGGCGTACTCAGTAGAGCGGGACAGTATATCGTGCCTGCACACCGTTTGCAACTTTACAAGCGCAGATTCGGCCTCATATGGAATCCTGTTCTCATCTCTGGGCCGGGGCTCCCTAATGCGAGCTCTTTCCACTTGACCGCATAGAGAGCAGAGTTCTCTTTGATTGGCTCGATTCTCTGGAATCGATTACCATCGGCGATTTTTATGGACAGATACGACTTAGGGACGTTCAAGAAACGAGCTTACTTCTTTTTTAAAGTCCGGCAGTGCATATGCAATTCTCCTAGTGTTGGAGTATTATATTAAAATTTTAAAAAGAAGGCTATCTTGTTAACCGATTCGTTGCGACACCAATTTTCGACAACTTTTAGCTGTGGCGGCGAACAAATATTTCATGACACGCCGGGCGTGTCTAGCGCCACAGACGCCATGTGTAAAAGTAATGTTCTTTTTTATGCTTTTTTTACTTGTTTAGACCTAATTAAGTTTATTTGACATCAAACATAAGTTACAAATGGAAGGATACTTGTTTTTAGTGGGTAACTACGTGTTTTTTTACGTGTACAATTACAGTGAGTGAATCGGGACACACAGTTCCAAGCCATAGACATAGTATCTTATAGACTAAACATTCAGTGAGGTCGTCAGCGTGCGAAAGGAATGCACGTATATAGTTAGACATAAGAGTAAGGGAGAAGCAAATCTATATTTCTTGTCTTTTTCTAGGTGTGCGTTTTTGATTGTTTTCCCTCCTTTATTTGACATTAACGATGTCAAGCTCTTTTGAATAATATTGATGTTATAAGCAAACAAGTAATTGAATTTAGTGTTTTTTGTGGATCTTAGTTATTAGGTAAGGTGAAAAAGATGGTAAGTTGTAGCATTTTAGGATGCAACAGCATCAGTCAACGAAAAATTGATAATATTACCTTTCATCGGTAAGTTTGTTTTGTGCTTACATTTGCTACTTGTACTGATTAATATCTATTGTTTTGAATATAAAATGTAACATTTCATGTTTTTAATGAACTTTGTGATGTATTTTGTCAAATATTTGGACTCCCAAATTGTAAATTCTTCATGATAATGCTCCTTAATTTGAACGGTCATTCGAAAGCTTAAAGTCATAACAAACGTGTACTTTTTGATTTGGTAGGATTATAGAAACTTTAGGGATATCAGCGAGTACAATAATGTTTTCGCATTGTTCAATAATAATTGTTATTGTGATTAGTAGTTATGTCCATAAATATGAATCACATAATGTTATACATATACATACACTTTTATATTCAGCTTTAAAGGAAACTCCTTATTGCCCTACAACTCTTCAATCATTTTCCATATTACATAGACGTCACAAATAATATGTAAGTATCAACCTGAAAACACGTTTGGATTTAAGTACATAAATATTGTGCAAAGTATATTTAATTTCACAAAATATGTATTGCCTAAAATCAGATGCACAAATCTTTATTGCATTCCATTAATTCTATTATACATTAGCAACAATTACATTACAATATTTATTTAAAAAAATATGTCATGCTAATATAAAAATAAATATAAATATAGATAAAATAATAAATAAATAAATAAGTCTTAATCTTAAGGTACACAATAACACAACAACATAAAATAATATTCTCAATTAATGATGTAGAAAAAATTTGTTGATAATATACTTACCGTTACCATTAGTCAGTATTAAAAGTCAAAAGTTATAGGTTTTGTGATAGTTACCTAGCTTGGCAGGAGAATTGGCAACTGCAGTTATTTGGAGACAAACTGTATGGGAGGTCTATGTTCAGCGGTGGACAGACAAATTCTCTTGTACGCCACAACTTGCCGCACACAAGACACTAACTTAGCAAGATATGCAGGAAATCGCGGGAGTAGGCTCATAACCGTGTTTTGTACTACAAAACCTAAGTGGAAACCCTTTCCTTTCGAAGGTCTGTGTTCAGCACTGAACTTGTGATGCAATGGTATGTTAAAACATTATTGTTTTTTTTTTGTAAAAACAACAAAACTCGACACAAGGAAATTTTTGTTTATTATTTAATATTTTTATTCTCAATTAATATTTAAGTACATACATAACATATTGTTATTTATTAGCGATATCACACTTTGTACTATTAGCGCCTTCACTTAGTGCCGTCGAAATCCAAAGAGTTATTGAATGTCCAGTAAAATCGTCGATGCGCCGTTGAATACAGAATGATGATTCTGTTTTTACGCCGTTTCCGCCCGTAGTTTTTAGTGACAGAATGTATTTTTAAGAGAAATTAATTAATCATCTGAATTATAAAAGAACATTTTTTTATGGTAACAATGAAGTTTTTTGCATGAATGTAAGTGCTGTGAATATAAATAAACCCATAACGGGGGAAATGGAACAATATCTGGTAACCCTGTGAAAGTACCTCCCGCCTATTTCTATCTCAAAAGCATACGCGAATGCTTTATCTAGTCAATCCTCTATCTACGTTCCAAGCTCATACATTTGGCAGACTCTCCTTATCTCACAGAGTGCATAGAGACAGAGTAATAAGTAGATACAGAAAGCAGAGTAATAGGTTAGAGAGTATATGTATAATCTGTTCTGTGGAGTGTGGAATACATTTGGCAGACTAAAGTTTGACATTCCTTTCGTTTTGCAACGAACTAAATATTTGTTCTATCTCTGACTAGTATACAGTTATCTGTGGTTCTGGTATTTATATGTATAGATATATAAATATATTTTTCTACAATTCTCGCTACACTACAAGTAAATATTGTCAGTTTCAAAAGTAAGAGTCACATTTAAGGCATATTTATTCGTCTAGACGATACATTATATTCCGACGAGGCGTTTTATTTGGAAAATAGGAAAAGTAAGTATGAAAAGTAAGGTGTTTAACGGATCTCGAAATAGGATCAGTGAAAATAAATAGCAGTGCTAAATATTCTCCATTTTGTTTGCTCGTTCAGTAAATACTGCGCTTTAATTTTGGACGATCAGATGTGTGTGGTCTCTGTGATAAGAACTAGCTATCAGCTTCTAAAACCAGCAGCTCGCCATACAGAGATTATAATTCTAGAACTAGCTAATACGATTAAATATGAGGCAGAATTGTTTTCATTTTGCCACAGTGATGTTCTCTTTGAATACATTATTAATACGGAATCCATTCACCTTCGTGACCATTCAAGTAACACATGCATTAACTTACAAGTTCGTTCCATATTATGTGATTAACAGTTTCTTGCAAAAAAGACCTGGCGCTTAGCTGGGATTTTCAAACCTTTTTAATGAATCGATAGACTTGTAACGTGCATCTATCTTTTGACCAATCAGATTTTCTTTAGATCTCCTTAAGTGAGACTTACCTGCTTAAAATTAATAGAGACAAAGCAAATTTTCTGAGTGGAACCCGAGTCTTTATTCATATCAGTAGCTCTCACCTACTCTCTCTCACATGTGTATACTGATATAAAGTATGTAAATAATAAACAGTGCGCTGTCGCTTGCATCCTGAAATTCTTATATAGATGATAGTGGCATCTTTACATATGCAAAGGCACTGTCTTACAATATGCAAGCATGCGGGTTTACTTTCGCCTCGAGTCATTCTGACGCTCTCACATACGTGTGAGACTACAAAAGAGTTTGCTTTATTTATAGTAATTAATAATTATATAAACTGTACTGTGATATCTGGAGAACAATTCTTAATTCATATTGTTATTTAACTCATATGGTAATTAATTATTAAAGTAATTTTGACAGTGGTAGAGCCACGCGGCAGTTTTTGCTGTCGCACGGATGGGCCGGCTCAAACCGGGGTGGTACCACGACCTCACAGAATACCAGCGTGAAGTAGAGGTTTGCCTCTGCGTTTCGTTCGGTGAGTGCAGGTGGCCGGAGGCCTTTTTTACTAGTAAAGAGGCATCCCACCTTAGTCCTCACGGGTGACAACGCATCTGCATTTTGATTCGCAAACGTGGATAGATGTAGAAGTCTATGGGCCACAGCTACCACTTACCATCAGGTGGACTGTGTGCTCGTTTGTCACCCTATCCTATAAAAAAAATATGTTTATTGCCAAAGTACTGGTCAAATTGTAAAGCAGCACGGACTTGTGACGTAGCATGATTTTCTATGAACTTGTTGAAAAGCATATCTTGAGCTAGTGGTCATCATCATCATAATTAGCCTTTTATTCTACAACAGATGATTTACATAGCGTTATCCTATCCCCTTCGTGGTTAAACCTTGTCGCAATAAGCATAAATCATTTTGTAATATAATTTTTAATTAAAATTAAAGTAAGAGCCTTCATACGTCCATTGGTGACTACAGGCCTCCTAGGTTCTCTCACAGAATAAAAGTGTAAAATACCACCAATACTGCCGGATTTCGCAAGGTGAGAATCGTAGACCCTTGTTACTGATTACGAGACCTTTCTTTCATTTTTACAGCCGGAACACGCATCTGCATTTTCATTATTAATGGAGGATAATATAGGTATTCATATACCACAGCATTCATTTACCAACTGGGTAACTAGTTGTGCTCCTTTGTAGTCCTTATCCTACTTACTCCTGCTTCAGTGTGAATTCGCAAGTACGAATGTCACAACATGATCTCAAAATACTTAAATTTTTCTATCACGCAAGTTTCTTGGTCGCAAAACGTAAATCAGTGCTCAAAATAATTATAGATAATCATTTCATTAGTTCAGGGCAGGAATTGAACTCCAAAGTCTCGAATTAATTACCCTTGAGCTACCGCTACTATGTTAATTAATTTTTCTATCTATATTACATATGGCAGGTTATCTGAATAAAAAGCTATGGGTTTAATTGAATCAACAATTGCTGTTATGTCATTATGCTTCAACAGGTACTTAAGATTTTTATTATTTATTAACTATTCCAAAGTTCACTTAAGAATATTTATTTCCTAGAAATAGGCATTCGCATCGATATCATCATCTCATTACTTACAGGTGACAACAGATCTGCATTTCCATTCTTAATCGAGAACAGGTATCCATGAACCACAACATCCACTACCGTGGATTGTGTGCCCGCTTGTTACGCATAGTTTTATTAAAAATTAGCGAGTCCCGGTTTCACACGGGTGATTTCCGGATCACAACAACGGCGCCACCTACCGGGTGTAATTGTGAATCAAAACCATTTGGGGATTCGCTCAAACACACACACAAAGTTTCATCAAGATCGGTCCAGGAATTTTTGAGTTTATGCGGGATTAACGGTCAGCAATCGAGAAAAAAAGAATCAATCTCCCCATTAATAATAGTAATTATTATTATTATTATTTATTTCGGACCATGATCCATATGGGTTAATATGTAATTTATAAACTAAAATATGTTAGTAGCAACATTAACTAATTAATTAATTATAACTAAATTAATTTAGTTATAATTAACCTACATCCCACTGCACCAGACCCGCAGCGGTGTATACGTGTTCAGTGCTGCAGGAACGAGCAGTCTGGTTTCTCCATAATAACTGTCAGGATGCTGTTGGTGCTCCCCCGAAGCTTGCGCATCAGGGATGCTGTTGTTATTCGAAGAATAGCTTGAAAGCTGTCCGTTACCGCTTCAGCAAACATGCCTGATGCACTACATAATTGGTGAAGATTATATTAGAAATTAGGAGGCGACTATCGGAGATACCAGAAAGATCTCATAGCTTCCAATGTATTGGGATAGACGGTATAACCATTGCGCTTAAAATAACCAGAATAGCATTTTGAATGATGAAGTTAATATAATATTTCTTTAACTAACAAAAATCATAATATTTGCACTTATTACTTAGCTTTGTTGTATCGTACGTATCTAGATGTAGATAATGGCATGTTTTAAACCTACTAAGGTTTAAAACATGCCATTTGATCGGTGAAATGTATTTTCTTACGTCGAAGAAAAAAGATATTTCATTACAATTGTTCGAAAATTTTCTAATAAAAAAAGCAAACTTTTAAAAAGTAAAAACCAACTTAAATAACTAAGGGCCGATTTTTCAATCGTCAGTTACAAGTTATCCATCAAATGAACTTAACTGAATCTAAAAGTTTCACTTTTTTTAGTTTAAGTATTTTATATTGCATTTTATTATATGAATAACTTATCTGACGATTGAAAAATCGGCTCTAAAAAGAATCAAATAATTTCACATATTAAAATCTAAATTCTACGAATCGAAACTCTATTGTGAAAAGTCTGAATATGTCCAAAAAGGCAGGTAAGGCAATTCACAATGGTGTGTTAGTCATTACTTTAATGTATGGTAGTGAAAGTTGAGTGTGGCAGAAGAAGCACGAGGGTAGAATAAATGCTGTAGTAATGCGGTCATTAAGGAGTATGTTAGGCATGATTCAGAATGACAGGATGAGAAATTGTATGATAAGAGAAGAGTGTGATTTGCAAGATGATTTTGTAACCAGGATTAAGAAAGAAATGTTCGGTGGTTTGGTCATGTAAAAATAATAAACGAGGAAAGAGTAACAAAACAAAATTATGTTGCAAAAGTGAACGCCAGAGTCGGGAAGGGACGCCCTAGGCGATCAATCGATGCAATTTGTCGGCCAAATTGGCGATATATTGAAAATGGGCCAAATTAAGCGTACAAAATAAAGGAATCCATTATAAATTGCCAGCTCATGCTGTACCTTGAGGATCACCAGCTGATTAGTGACCGCCAATACGGTTTTCGTCAGGGTCGATCAGCTGGTGATCTTCTGGTCTACATCACTCATAGATTGGCGGAGGCAGTAGAGTCCAAGGGGAAGTGGCCGTTAGTTTGGACATTGCGAAGGCCTTCGATTGGGTTTGGCACAAAGCGCTTCTTTCGAAGCTCCCTTCCTGTGGGCTTCCCGACAAATTGTACAATTGGATCACCAGCTTCCTTGCAGATCGAAGCATCAAGGTCGTTGTAGATGGTGCATGCTCCGACTACAAGCCTATTAACGCTGGTGTTCTACAAGGCTGCGTGCTATCACCAAAGCTTTTTCTTCTGCATATCAATGATATGTTGCAAACCGGTAACATTCATTGCTATGCGGATGACAGCACTGGTGATGCTCTATACACCGGCCGTGCCAATATTTCTCGGGAAAACGTCGCCGAGTACCGTAACAAACTTGTGTCTGAAGTCGAGCCTTTGCTGAACAAAGTCTGGGATTGGGGGCGACTAAATCTAGTCCAGTTTAATCCTCAGAAGACACAAGTTTGCGCGTTTACCATTAAAAAGAACCCCTTTGTCGTATCTCCTCAGTTTCAAGGCACTCCCCTTGTTGCCTCAGCCAGTATCGGAATCCTCGGCGTCGACATATCGAGTGACGTGCAGTTTCACTTGCAGTCATCACAGTGGTCACTTGGAAGAGAAGGCCAAATTGGCCTCTAAAAAGCTTGGCGTACTCAGCAGAGCGGGACAGTATTTCATGCCGGCACAACACCTGCAAATTTGCAAGACGCAAGTTCAGCCTCATATGGAATACTGTTCCCATTTCTGGGCTGGGGCTCCCCAGTGCCAGCTCCTTCCACTTGACCGCATCCAGCGCAGAGCGGCTCGAATCGTCGACGACCGAGTCCTTTCCGATCGGCTCGATTCATTGGCACTGCGAAGAGATGTTGCATCCCTTTGCATTTTCTTTCGCATCTACCACGGGGAGTGCTCTGAGGAATTGTTCGGATTAATCCCAGCCGCCAAATTTTACGAGCGCACATCGCGGCAGAACTCCCGATATCATCCACACCATCTGAATGATTGACGGTCCACCACTGTGCGTTTTACAAGATGTTTTCTTCCTCGCACGACTTCCTTGTGGAATCGATTACAATCAGCGATTTTTCCGGACTGATACGACTTATGGACCTTCAAGAAAAGAGCGTACTCCTTTTTAAAAGGCCGGCAACGCATCTGCAATTCCCTCCCTGATGTTGCAGTTGTTCATGGGCGGCGGTAGTCACTTACCATCAGGAGAACCGCATGCTCGTTTGCCCCTCTCCTATAAAAAAAACCCTTAAACAAAGAGCATGTATGCGTAGGAACAAGTCGCGGCACGTAAATCTTGCGCAGAACGAAACGTGGACGGGACGCGCACGAATGCGAATGGAGAGCCAATCAGCTCGTACGAACGATACGCACTAGCCAATCAGCGTGACTTATGCGCAAAAAGGCAATCAGCGCGACTTATGCGCAATAACGATCACCGCTAGACTTTCGTGCCGCTACTTATATATGGATGTGGAAGAGGCGAGGGAGGTATGCCAAGATCGTGCCAAATGGAAGTCTGTAGTCTCTGCCTACCCTTGTGGGTGACAGTCGTGAGTGTTTATGATGAAATCGGTGCTAAGACATAGTATAAGGACATAATATATTTTATTCTTTTAATTCTTTCAAGTCTACTTGTACTTATTTATGAATAGTTAATTTTTTGATTATTTGAAGTTGACTAAGGAATATCTTAAGCTCAAGGTAACAATAAGAATGTCGTCATAATAATTACCTATATACATCAAAAACTTCATCTCCGATTTTAGCACCCTTAGAGCTAGAATTTTTTCATGAAATTTATATGGAACCATCCCTGAATTATCCTATTTAATTGAAAAAATGAATCATCATTACCGGTTCACAATTGATCAAAAGACCGCGTAACATACATACAAAAAAGGACATTCAGACAAATTAAGAACTTTTTTTCGAATATGGCAAAAAGAACACTCAAGAAAAGGCTTTGAATAGTAAACATTTTAGCCTAGAAAATATGCGTTCTCTCATAACGTCAACAGTTCTTCCCCGAACTACATTTTTTGGAATGGTTTACCACAGGTTATTTTTCCGGACCTACACGAATTAGACCTTCAAGAAACGAGCTTAGGTACGCCTTTTTAAAAGGGGGTAACGCACCAGCAATTCCCCTGGTTCTGCATGGGCGGCGATCGAAACTTACCATCAAGTGAGCTGCATGCTCGTTTGCCCCCGTTTTCTATAAAGTTTAGAAAAGTCAGAGAGGACTGACGCAGGACAATAATTCTAATATTTTCAGAAACAAGAACACGTGCGTCATTTTGTTTTTTACGGGGCACGTGCGTCATTTAATGTTAATGGATTGACAAGAAAATTTAATTTTGAATTTGACTAACTCTTTAAATCAAATATTCTTTTAATACAGAATTGTAACATGGGGCTGTTGTGCAATCGTATTGATCGGAATTATGGGGTCTATGTTATTGTTTGTAGTCTATGGCATCACAATGGGGTACCATCAGGCTCAAAATGAATTGGTTGAATTTGCTTGTAAGTAAACGCATTTAATTTTATTTCTAATGTACTCTTCTTTATCAGTCCATAAAAGTCCATTGCTGGACATTGACCTCTCCCACTTTAGTGTGGATTTGCCAAATTGTCACGTTTGGCAGACCGATTGGCGATTGCATTACCAGACGATGCTTTCTGTCGCTATTATTTAACACCTGGAAGCCATAAAATCTTTTTAACATCTCATAGTCACCTCTTATGACACTCATAGGACTAAATTGGGTAATGAATAATTTTCATATACCTTCACCATATATTCAAAATCCATAACTCATGTAAGGTGTAAGGTGACATTGATTTCATTAGATTTAATTTAGTATATTTGTCGACTACCAAATTAATTGGTGATTATAGCCGAGCTGTTTCGTTATAAATAGCTCTGAATATCTAACTTACATATACCCCTACTTTTTTACGTGATGGAGCCAGGCTGCAGCTATATTACTGGTATAGTTGTAGCACGAATGGGTCGGCTCGACTAGTGAAAGACCACGCTCTCACAGAATACCAGCGTAAAATAGCAGCTTAACGCGGCTGTGTTTCGTATGGTGAGAGTAGAGAACCGGAGACCTGTTTTTTTTTTTTACTTTGCTTTGCGGATGTGGACTATAAAACAAGATTTTGATTCCGTTAAAATTTTGGGTGGTGCTTCAGTCCCGTCGGCGGTGCCAAGTTGACTATCGGTATATCGAAGTGCTGAAGTGTTTGTACTATCCGAGCACGAAACCTATCCAACTGCAGAGAAGTGTAAGACTGGGTGATGTTATATCCCCGAAACTCTTCATCACTGCATTGGAAGACGTTTCCAAGCTACGGTACTGAAAAGTATACGGTGTTAACATCAATGTACATCACTCACCTTCGATTTGCCGACGACATAGTCCTTATGGCAGAATCGGTGGAGGACCGAAGAACTATGCTCAATGACCTCAATAGTGCTTCCCAACAGATAATTCTTAAGATGTGGTCTTAAGATCATGTGTAACATCCATGTCACAGCTATGTCGGTAGTAGTTGGGCGCACTAAGCTCGAAGTTGTTGTCAAAAGTTGTTGAAGATGGACTTATCTAGTCAGACAAATAGTCTGACTAGATAAGTCCATCTTCAACTGAGAGGTCAGCTGACGGGTTTAACTCGACTGGGCAGCGTTCGGGAGATAACGACACATCTTCTCGTCAGGTATACGTCTGTAATGTATGAAAGGTGTTGATTGAGAAGAGACTAGTAATTTCCCGAACGCTGCCCAACCGAGTTGAATCGGTCGATTGACCTCTCGGTCGAAATTGGACTTACCTAGTCGGACTATTTGTCCCAGGTAAACATACTCGTCAACAACTTCGAGCTTAATGCTCCCAACAACTACCGCCATAGGTGTGACATGGATATTAAACATGATCTTTGTTTTGTCCATGTTCATCTTAAGACCTATCCGTTGGGAAACATTATTGAGGTAATTAAGCATAGTGCTTAGGTCCTCCAGCGATTCTGCCATAAGGACTATATCGTCGGCAAATCGAAGGTGAGTGATGTACTCGCCATTGATGTTGATACCGTATCCTTTCCAGTCCAGAAGCTTGAAAACGTCTTCCAATGCAGCGGTGAAGAGTTTCGGGGATATGACGTCACCCTGTCTTACACCTCTCTGCAAATGGATAGGTTTCGTACTCTGGTTCTGTACTCGGATAGCCATCGTAGCCCTACTGTACAAGCACTTCAACACTTCGATATACCGACAGTCAACTTGGCACCGCTGAAGGGACTGCAGCACCGCTCAAATTTCGACGGAATCAAAGGCTTTCTCATAGTCCACATACGCCAGACATAGTGGCAAATTGTACTCCTCGGACTTCTGTACAATTTGCCGACGGGTATGTGGTCTATGGTGCTAAAGCCTTTTCGGAAACCGGCTTGTTCGGGAGGCTGGAAGTCGTCAAGTCTCCGCGCGAGACGATTCGTAATGACTCTCGAAAACAGCACGTAGACGCGGCTCAGAATGGAAATCGGTCAGTAGTTCTTCAAGAGAGCGTTGTCGCCTTTCTTGAAGAACAAGACCACCGCACTTCTGCTCCACGCCTCCGGTGTAATGCCACCATGGAGGACGGAATTAAAGAGCTTCTGAAGGACTTCAAGTACCGGTTTTCCACCCGCTTTCAGAAGCTCCGCTGTAATTCCATCCTCGCCTGGGGACTTGCTGTTTTTAAGGTGCTGGAGAGCCATTCTAATCTCGCTCAGACTGACGTCCGGGATATCATCGGAATAATATCGGATAAGACTAGCTCTTGGTTCGTTACTCAAACTTGCGTGTGGCTCCAACGATGATGTATACAGCTGCCCATAGAACCTCTCAATTTCACTCAAAATCTCAGGTGTCCCGGTAATGATGCTGCCGCACTCGGTCTTCAGGTTCGACAGTTGGCTCTTTCTGGCAGACAGATCTCTAGCAAAGACTTTGGAGCCCTGGTTCCGCTTGATTGCTTCTTCAATACGAGCAGTATTAAAGTTGCGTAAGTCCCGCCGCATGCATTTGGAGATCTGTCTGTTCAGTTGCCTGTATTCTGTCAAATCTACTGAAGACTGCAGCTTCATATCCCGTCTAACAGCCATGAGATTAAGAGTGTGATCGGAGAGTTTTTGTGTTCTTCTGCGGCGGGTCTTGCAAAACTTAGCTCCGACCTCATTGACAGTTTCCACGAGCTCGTCATTCATAACGTCCACTGCATTGCAATCTTCTAGGCACTGAAAACGGTTTCGTAGCTCGAGCTGAAAGGTTTCGGGACTTTGGATTAGAGCACGAGGGGGACGGAGCGTTGACTTCATTGGACGTGACCGCTTCAACTTAACGTTTAGGTTCAGTGTGCCACTCACCATTCGGTGATCGCTGCCGGTTTTCACCCTCGCGATCATTGAGACATCACTGAACAGTTGTTGTCGTCTGGTCGTCATAATGAAGTCAATCTCATTTTTTGTCGAACCGTCGGGGCTCGACCAGGTCCACTTCCTGTGGGGCCGCTTCTGGAAGATAGAGTTCATCATAAAGAGTCTCTCTTTCTCCATGAAGTCGGCCAGCTGCTGGCCCCTTGAGTTCCGTTGCCCTATTCCGAATTTCCCTACTTTCAGCTCACAAAAACAGTGTGTTGACCGGATGATTTCTGCATTTGGTGATGAAACCACAATTTATCGCTGGTTTGCTGAATTTCAACGTGGACGTGTCAAGCTCAGTGATGATCCCCGTCAAGGTCGTCCAAAAACTGCAGTCACCCAAGAAAACGTTGATGCTGTGCGTAAGCTGATTGAGGAAGATCGACATGTGACATACCGCGAAATTCAGGCAACTTTAGACATTGGCATGAGTCAAATACAAATAATCTTGCATGAACAATTAGGTGTAAAAAAGTTGTTTTCCCGATGGATACCGCATTCGTTCTGTGAAAAGCAAAAAGCGGCTCGCCTTACTTAGTGCGTCAGAACTCTCGAAAGATTCCACGCAGGATCCTCAAATGCTGTATACAACATCTTATCAGGTGACGAATCCTGGATATACGCGTACGAACCCGAAACAAAAAACCAGTCACGAGTTTGGGTGTTCGAAAATGAGTTAAAGCCAACAAAAATTGTTCGTTCACGGAGTGTTGCAAAAAAAATGGTGGCCACGTTTGTCTCCAAAACCGGCCATGTTACGACTATTCCTCTTGAGGGACAAAGAACTATTAATGCAGAATGGTATGCGCTAGCATTTGTTTGCCACAGGTCGTTTCTGAACTCCGTAAGGAGAACTGCAACCGCCGCATCATCCTCCATCACGACAATGCTATTTCTCAAACCGCACATAAAACAAAAGAGTTTTTAGAGCAAGAAAACATAGAATTATTAGACCATCCGCCGTACAGCCCCGACCTAAGCCCTAATGATTTCTATATTTTCTCTAAAATAAAGAATAAATTGCGTGGAAAGAGATTTTCATCACCTGAAGAAGCTGTGGACGCCTACAAAACGGCCATTTTGGAGACCCCAACTTCCGATTGGAATGGTTGCTTCAATGAATGGTTCCATCGTATGGAAAAATGTGTCAAATTTCGCGAAGAATACTTCGAAAAGCAATAAATACATTTTTAAATAGTAATGTTGTGTCACTTCCTTGATTCCCGAAATTTTCAGTGCCGCCCTCGTAAGTTTTCTTATAATCAATGTACATGCTAAATAAATCTTTTCTTTTTAGTTGTACCTGTTTTAATATTACTGCATCTATTTTGAGTTGTTCTTTACAACCGTCAATAAATATGTTCATAAATGGTTTCGGTTAAGCATGTTTACGTCACACCCATATTAGTAGACCAATAATTTTATAATTCTCTAGGTAAGGGTAAACTGTTTTCGAAATCTTTCGAATTGATCATTATATTTGTTACAGGGTTTTTTATATTTCGGTAGAAAAGTTTTTCATTTGAACAAAATAGCCTGAGTTTTTCATAGCGAGCATGCTTTATATCTTTTTAGCCGACTACTAACTAGTAAGTTTAAGTTTTTAAGTGTGTCTAAAAAGGGTACGTGTTTAATGTTATGTTCTTCGTGGAAAGAATGAGTTTTATATTGCTCAAATATAGCATTTATGTGTTTAAACAAATTTTTTACCTCTGTTTCCATTGATAAATTGTGTTAGTCTTGCAATCTTTGCTCTTAATTCACTAAATTCAATATCACTGTTGATGTATTCTGACAACAAAATATTATTCACATGGGCGACTATTTTACTCAATTTTTTTGATGACCTCTGGTTTGATATAAATTGCCTATCCTTCAACCACTTCTGGTAAGCTTAAAATTCTTGTGTTAGAAGTGGTTCACGACAGTAGTCGAATGGCGGATTCGAAACCACGACCTTTCGGGTTCTTTATTTATTATTATACATTAAAAATATTACAGATTATCAAAAATCCACTGCTAAACAAAGGAATCCCCTCATAGCATGGCAACCATAGGAAATATCCCTCATGCTCGGCAGGTGGGTTGGCAACCAGTTTCTTTTTGTATTTTGAGTTAATGAGAAGAAGATGCTGTTCATTCGTTTCTCACCGTGGGCATCTCCTGCTTTGTTCCCTCTGTCGTTTACGACACCCACGAAGTGAGGAGGTAGCAGATTATCTTACTCTGGCACTACACGGCGAACATGTATGTGTAGCAATCAATATGCAACTGCGTCATGTTTTTTACTACGATGATATTTTGTAACTTAAAGCGAGATGTTTTTAATTCATTAACAAAGGGCTTTGTCACTGATGCAATAATTATGATGCCCCGGTAGTTACAACAAAAAATGTTGAACCGATTAATGAACTAACAAGTAACTTATTAATTTACTTAATCTCTTATTAACTAACAAATAAAGTTTTTGGCATCATGTGATAACTAGTATGATAAAATTCTATTACAACTACAAACTACCAAAAAAATCAAGGACTAAATGTAAATTATTTAAATTGATTCTTTCTATGAGTTCTGGGCACATTCTATCAGTTATGATAAACATCATCGATGATAACATTACAAGTTAAACAGTTTGGTGAGGTAGTTTTTCGCTTCAATAAAAATGTATTGAATGGGATTGCTGTTACAATGTTTTTTTCTTACAAAATGTCGCGTCTACACAATTATCAAAAACAAGATGCCAATATTAAAAGGAAAAATAATATACAAGTTTATTATAGTATCGAATACGCAAGTAAATTGGTCAGGTTTTAGGGTTCCGTACCTCAAAGGAAAAAACGGAACCCTTATAGGATCACTTTGTTGTCCGTCTGTCAGTCTGTCAAGACCCTTTTTCTCAGGAACGCGTAGAGGTATCAAGCTGAAATTCATATCAAATACTCAAGTCTACTGTCCCTTGGAGCTGTGAAAAATAAATAAAAAAAGCCGTTTATGCCACAAATTTTCGACATTCGCAAGGGAATCAAAACCTACAGGTTACTTCCCGTGAACTCAGAATCTTGAAATTTGGTACGAATCAACGTATTATAGCACAGATAAAGGAAAAATTGCGAAAAGCATAAATTTTTAGTTACATCATATAATAATTTTTTTTTAATAATTTTAAACTTATATACCTACGGATTTGTTCGGAGTCCTCGGTGCGCGAGTCCGACTCGCACTTGGCCGGTTTTTTCTTTTAATCAATTAAAAACTTTTACAGATGATCTTCCCCTAACTGCAGCTCTATCGTTACCTCTGTATGCGCTGTTACGACAAAAACTTCAAAGGCACCTCTCTCAGGTGCTGCATCAAGCGACTAGTGTTTCCGACATGGTGTATTCCAACCCTAGTTTACTTGAAGTATACAGGTACTACTAAAATTATTTTCACACCCATTTTTGCTTAATGTTGTTCTGGTCGATTTGTTGTTTACGGCGACAATTTCCGAATATTCCGGAAACTATCAACTACGCAGGAGATTGTACAGTGCTACCTTCATCATTAATTTTGCAGTAATACGTTTCACACCTTTGACGTTAATACCTGTCGCCGGTATGGGTATTTTACGTCTAGCGTAAGCGAGATGATTAAATGGCCATCTATCCCTTTTCACATTTGCTATACTTGAATACGCGAATACATTTGCTATACTTGACTATACGAATGAATTTTTTCTCTATCAGTCAATCGCCAATCGTGGAGAGCAAACCGAGCTCGAACACCGCCAGCACCAATGAAATTGTTTAATTGCAATTTAAGGTGCTGATTAATAATGTGTTCGGCTCTGAAGGAAAACTCCTAGTTACATTATATCAAATGTATCGAAAACGTGTGAAGTTCGCCGATATATACTGTCAGCGCGGTATTAGGGTTTGGGTCCCGGGACGTCTCGTGTCTCGAAGTCCCGGTTCTTTTCGTAATTTTAGTTGTCTCGAGTCCCGGGACATTCGGGTCGAGACTCGAGACGAGACAAGATTGTCGAAATTGTTATGTAATCATTTTTATTTTCAAATAATTTAAGGAGCCTAGTGCCATCTGTTAGTTTAATGAATAATTACTTGGACTACTACGTAACTACTTAGTACGCAACACAATAAATTAAACAAATATGTGATTATGAGAATTAACAATGAGATTGTAAACTATGATTAGATACTAGAATGACTAGATAATAGTAAACTTATAAAGAACTAGTATGATTTTTAACTAAGTTCGTTTCATAACTATAAGATTTTACTTTTTAGAAGTGCATCTGTATGTGACTAAATGTAATAAGCAAAGCAATTATTAAGACTGAAATTAGCGTTAAAGTTATTTAATTTTCTGTTTAATTGTTTAATAAATGTTGATTTTTTTCAAAAAATTGCCTCTTTTTAATACGTTTCACCAGAAATTAACTCAATTAAAATTCTTCAAAAAGGCTTACCCGTCTTAATAAAAACAAAAAAGTTTTTTCTTAAAAGTCAAAGTAATCAGTCTCGGGAATTCCCGGGACTTTGATTATAGGTCGTCCCGTGTCCCGGGACTTTGAAATTATCGGGAATTCCCAAACCATACGCGGTATGCAAATTGTTCCATAACTCTCTCAGAAACTAGAGGAGGCTTTTGCTCAGCCGTAGGACGTATAATGTACTCGTAGTCTGTTACTTTTATTTTTTCGCTAACGACCTATTATTTATTATTATAAGCAAGTGTTTGATGTAATCAATCCCACCTGGTGGTAAGTGGTGATAGAAATAAAAAGTTTTTATTCAATATAGATTATAAATAATACTTATTAAAAGTCAGTCTTTTGTTTAATTACCACTGGTTTGAAAAATAAATCTCTGTCCTGAAAAGAACCAGCAAGAAACCCAGCGGGACATTTTTTAAAATAACAGCTGACAATCATATATGTTACACAATTAACCACACAAAAGAAATTAGAAATAGCTTGGTAGCGATCTCCTCATTCCCAGTCGTTATTATCATCCATAAATTCATTAATATTATAATAACTCTTTTTATACAAACTTTGTTTAATAATGTTCTTGAGCTTTGAGCAGGTCAAATTTTGTATATTTTCTGGGATTTTGTTTTTCGATGAAGTCCAGGATGGCAAATCTCACCGTCTTAACAAAATTCTTGCCTTAAAGATGCCCAAATTGTAACCGGACGGAAAGACAGACACGGGCAAATCATTCCATTTCCACTGTATAATTTCTTGCTAAATACCTAAAATGTAAACTAGTTTGACGTTAACTACATAGTACTATTATTTATTCTGTGGTTAAACATAAAATATCAATTTAAAGTAGCGTTATCTCGTTAGAAAACACGTATTTCAAGTTAAGCGTTTACCGTGTTATTGGAACATTGTCTTTAATTGTCAACCAATGGTTATTCAAGCGTAAAAATTCAATTTGAGATAATTTCGACTTACAGCTCAATGGTGGACAACATGGCGCAGAACGGGAACAGGGTCATCGACATGATATTGATAAACATGCGCCGGACACTATTGCAAACGTGTCGTGAAGTGTTGGAGCTGCCTTCAGTCCATGCCACCTTCATGAATAAGGTACTGCCAAGTCGACCATGTGGCCTAGTGGTTATTATACCGCGGGTTCTTGGTTCGAATTTCAACCGGTCCTAATATTTGTTCAAAAAACAAATCCATTGATGTGTGGTGGTGAATGCGTAAAAGAATCTATTTCAGCTTTTAGTCCCGTGGGTGTCGTAAGAGCTGACTATAGGAAAAGCCATAAAGATCTTTCCCTGCAAGGTCAAGCGGGGAGTCTGTAGAAGTCATTCCAATATTTATCTATTTGTTAGTTTATTTTATATGAATATATATATATATATATATATATATATATATATATATATATATATATATATATATATTGTTTGTTTATGAATAGATAATTTATTTATTTATTTAGAAAACCAACAGCGTATATAGAAAATATTAACATTAATGTAACAAACTAAAAGTATGGCCAATAACAGGTTTCCCTTATATTGTTTGATGGTAGGTGTATTGTTGTTAGAAGAAAAGGAAAAAGAACAATCTAGTAGATAAATTATAAGCAAAATTATAAGCAATTCAATGTAATGAAGATGGTCATAAGTTTACAGATCAGGAGAGATAGTCAGGTAGAATGATATATTACATTACCTTTATATATATATATAAATATATAAATATATATATATATAAGATATACTATATATATATATATATATATATATACATACATATATATTTACTTATGTATATATACATATTAAATGTTTAAATATATAAACATAATACAAATAATTAATTATAATATATATTAAATAAAATAACTTAAGTACTTATATTTATATTACTAGCCTCAAAAATACATATAGAAGAAATAGATGAGAGAATATATGATTGTATGTGATTTTAATTTCAACTGCTCTATTTCGTAATAGTTTTCTTGATGTAATCTTTAAACGTAAGTTTAGATTTCGCAAAGAGGTCAATGTGTCCAAATTGTTCATTATATGTACGAGCAAGCCGCGAAAGAACAGTGTTTCGACAGTAGTTTGAATGATGCCAGGGAGTCTGTAACAATGTAGTATTGCGGGTACGGAATTTTGGAGTACGAAAGGTGATTCTTGAGACAAGATATGGACAGTCAATATTACTGTTTATTATATCATATAACAAAGCCATGTCAAGCAAAATGCGCCTGTGTTCCAGAGATAAGAGATCGTGCTCAGTGCAACTGTCTGTGTAAGTATCGATTTTATTCCGACAGCGAAAGTTAAGGTGATTAACAAATATTTTTTGAATACGCTATTTATTTTGCAATATTCAAATAAACGGTCTAGGTCTTTTTGTATCAATAGGCAGTCATGTATGGTGTTAATTTTACAAAAAATCTTCTTATCATCTGCATACATGAGGTAATTTGTGTGTATAATGCACGAACCAATGTCATATAGGTAGGCATTGTAAAAAAGTGGACCTAAGTGAGAGCCCTGAGGAACACCTGTAGGTATGTTTATGTAGCTCGAACGGAAACCACCTATCACGACTGCTTGTGAGCGGTTTGTGAGATATGATTCAGTCCATCGGAGCAAGTCACCGTGAATCCCTAATATTTGTAATTTGTTGAGAAGGATCATGTGATCCACACGATAATTATATAACTTATACATATACTTAGTTAATTTTCTTTCTTTTCTTAATTCTTTCTCTTACAAATCTTATTGCACCTCCAAAGTAGTGTTAAAGACGTTAAATCCGCCTTTGTACATTTTTGTGCAACGAAGTTTAAATAAATTAATTAATTAAAAGTTACGTCAGACATAAAATGTCCAGACCGGCGACAGGCAGCAGAGCCGTACTACGATCGTCAATACACCTACCAAGCGTGACGAGATGATGTCCAGGTGTTAGCTTTTACGTGGCAATTTGTCGATTCGTCATCAGGAAGATGCTGCCCATCTTTTCAGTTTTCCTCTGACGCCGCTTACAACACACAGGACATGTGGTAGTGAATATTCTTACACCGCCACTACACCGTAAGTGTTGAAAAGTGGAACACCACAATCCCATAACCGATTCCTAGTTAAATAAATAAAAAATTATGTGTTACACTAAAATTTCTTTTGGCTGGAATTCGTGTCCGTAACTCAGCAAGTACTCTAACCATACCTGCGAAAGAGACAGTCATAATTTGAGTTGCAACAACATTTTTATTTGAAATTTTGACTTTCAGATTGGTTCAATTTCGTTTGTGGGTAGATTTGAAACGGAACCTGGTTGGTTAAAGAACTTGGCAACGATAAACAGGATAAACGATGTCAGCGTAACCAAGCCGGACCCAATGAAAACAAGTTTTCGTGTCACACTCAAGATTAAGGACTTACAGGTAATTTTTCATGACAATATGTTCAAAAGGTTTATATTGCTAAAATATCCTGGTCTATTTGTATGAGCCGTGTTAGCTCAGATGGTTAGCGCTCGCTGTAAGCTTCACAGTACTCGAGCAACCCGGGTTCGATCCCCGCCGGCACCAATAAAATTGTTAATTGCAATTTTAAGTGCTGATTTACCACGTGCTCAGCGGTGAAGGAAAACATCGTGAGGAAACCTGCATGTCTGAGAAATATTTCGAAGACATGTGAAGTTCGCCAACACGCATTGGAGCAGCGCGGCGGACATTTCCTTGCCCTAAAACCCTTTCAGAAATGAGAGGAGGCCTGTGCCCAGCATTGGGACGTAAATAGGCTGCAACTTTACTTTACTTTTATTTGTATGCGACTAGGTGATACACGCAATATGTTTATATTATTATCGTAAGGCATTATACTTAGTCAGGTCATAAGTTCTGTCAAAAACTTTTTATAAAATTAATGATACACTTTTTGATAATTATATAGAAATTATATATGAAATGAAAGGTAATTTAGAATACAATTTTATTTACATTATTCAAAATGCCCTCCCCTATTTTGAATACATGGCCTTAATCGATGTGGCCAATCATTAATCGCAGCACGCACCACATTCATATCTATTTCTGCCGTTGCTTTAGCCAAAGATGCCCGGAAAGATTCCAAATTCTGAGGAGGCTTAGCGCAGACTTTCTCCTCCAAACGTTACCATATCTTGTAATCCAGTGTGCTTAAATCTGGACTAGAAGAGGGCCAGTCTTCATTTCCGATAAAGTGAATTCCACGGGCGGTCAACCAGTTTTGCGTGCTTCGTACCCTATGAGCTGGTGCAGAGTCATGTTGGAATATCCAATGTCTGTTTTTGAACATTGTTTGAGAAAGAGGTTCCACTATCTTCGTTAGGACGGTATTTTGGTACACCTCGACACTGGTTTTTACACCTTTTTCACAGAAAAACACTTCAGTTAAGCCTGAATATGAGTCTCCAGGACAAACCATGAGTCATCATCATTACAGCCCTTCACAAGTCCACTGCTGAACATAGGCCTCCCCCAAAGAATGCCACAAAGCACGGTCCTGAGCCACCTGCATCCATCGACTTCCTGCATGTCTTACCAGGTCGTCACTCCATCTCGTGGGGGGACGCCCTACACTTCGCCTACCGGTACGAGGCTGCCACTCGAGAACCTTTCTTCCCCATCGGTTGTCGGTTCTTCGAGCTATATGGCCGGCCCACTGCCACTTCAGCTTACTAATCCGTTGGGCTATGTCGGTCACTCTGGTTCTACTGCGGATATCCTCATTCCTAAGTTTATCACGCAGAGAAACTCCGAGCATAGCCCTCTCCATAGCTCGCTGAGCGACCTTGAGCTTCCTCATACGGCCAGCAGTGAAGGACCACGTCTCAGTTCCGTAAGTCATCACTGGCAACACGCACTGGTTGTACAATTTCGTTTTAAGGTTTTGAGGTATGTCTGACGAGAAGATGTGTCGTAGCTTCCCGAACGCTGCCCAGCCGAGTTGAATCCGTCGATTGACCTCTCGGTCGAAGTTGGACTTACCTAGTCGGACTATTTGTCCCAGGTAAACATACTCGTCAACAACTTCGAGCTTAGTGCTCCCAACAACTACCGGCATAGGTGTGACATGGACATTAAACATGATCTTTGTTTTGTCCATGTTCATCTTAAGACCTATCCGTTGGGAAACACTATTGAGGTCATTGAGCATAGTGCTTAGGTCCTCCAGCGATTCTGCCATAAGGACTATATCGTCGGCAAATCGAAGGTGAGTGATGTACTCGCCATTGATGTTGATACCGTATCCTTTCCAGTCCAGAAGCTTGAAAACGTCTTCCAATGCAGCGGTGAAGAGTTTCGGGGATATGACGTCACCCTGTCTTACACCTCTCTGCAATTGGATAGGTTTCGTACTCTGGTTCTGTACTCGGATAGCCATCGTAGCCCTACTGTACAAGCACTTCAACACTTCGATATACCGACAGTCAACTTGGCACCGCTGAAGGGACTGCAGCACCGCCCAAATTTCGACGGAATCAAAGGCTTTCTCATAGTCCACATACGCCAGACATAGTGGCAAATTGTACTCTTCGGACTTCTGTACAACTTGCCGAAGGGTATGTATGTGGTCTATGGTGCTAAAGCCCTTTCGGAAACCGGCTTGTTCGGGAGGTTGGAAGTCGTCAAGTCTGCGCGCGAGACGATTCGTAATGACTCTCGAAAACAGCACGTAGACGCGGCTCAGAAGGGAAATCGGTCTGTAGTTCTTCAAGAGAGCGTTGTCACCTTTCTTGAAGAACAAGACCACCGCACTTCTGCTCCACGCCTCCGGTGTAATGCCACCATGGAGGACGGAATTAAAGAGCTTCTGAAGGACTTCAAGTACCGGTCTTCCACCCGCTTTCAGAAGCTCCGCTGTAATTCCATCCTCGCCTGGGGCCTTACCGTTTTTAAGGTGCTGGAGAGCCATCCTAATCTCGCTCAGACTGACATCCGGGATATCTTCGGAATAGTGTCGGATGAGACTCGCTCTTGGATCGTTACTCACACTTGCGTGTGGCTCCAACGATGATGTGTAAAGCTGCCCATAGAACCTCTCAATCTCACTCAAAATCTCAGGTGTCCCGGAAACGATGCTGCCACATTCCGTCTTCAGCTTTGACAGTTGGCTCTTTTTGGCAGACAGATCTCTGGCAAAGACTTTGGAGCCTTGGTTCCGCTCGATCGCTTCTTCAATACGAGCTGTATTGAAGTTGCGTAAGTCCCGCCGCATGCATTTGGAGATCTGTCTGTTCAGATGCCTGTATGCTGTCAAGTCTGTTGAAGAATGCAACTTCATCTCCCGTCTAACAGCCATGAGATTAAGAGTGTGATCGGAGAGTTTTTGTGTTCTTCTGCGGCGGGTCTTGCAGAACTTAGCTCCGACCGCATGGACAGTTTCCACGAGCTTGTCATTCATATCGTCCACTTCATTGCAGTCTTCCAGGCACTGAAAACGGTTTTGTAACTCGAGCTGAAAGGTTTCGGGACTTTGGAACAGAGCACGAGGGGGACGGAGCGTTGACTTCATTAGACGAGACCTCTCCAACTTAACGTTTAGGTTCAGTGTGCCTCTAACCATTCGGTGATCGCTACCAGTTTTCACCCTCGCGATCACGGAGACATCACTGAACAGTTGTCGTCTGGTCGTCATAATGAAGTCAATCTCATTTTTTGTGGAACCGTCGGGGCTCGACCAGGTCCACTTCCTGTGGGGCCGCTTCTGGAAGAAAGAGTTCATCATAAAGAGTCCCTCTTTCTCCATGAAGTCGGCCAGCTGCTGGCCCCTTGGGTTCCGTTGCCCTATTCCAAATTTCCCTACCTTCAGCTCACCGTTCTCTCTTGTGCCTAGTTTTGCATTGAAGTCTCCCATTAACACCGTATATTGGGTTTTGGAGGAATGCATGGCTCTAGAGATATCCTCATACATTTCCTCCACCTCCTCATCGGGGTGTGCCGAGGTTGGTGCGTAAACCTGTATGACCTTCAGCGAATACCGTTTGGTGATTCTGAGTATAAGGTACGCCACCCTCGTCGACACACTCCCGATCTTTACAACGTTGTTAACGAGAGACTTGTGGACGATAAATCCGACACCTCCTTGGGACAGATGGTCGCCCTCCCGGTGATAGAGCAAGTTGCCGGATTCGAGGATTACCGTGTCCTCCCCCTCTCTTCGGACTTCGGATAATCCTATAATATGCCAGCGCAACTTGTCTATCTCTTCTTCCAGCTCCACGATCTTCTCGTCAGTCCTCAGGGTGCGTGCGTTGTACGTTGCCAGGTCGAGTCGTCTAAGGTGGCAACCGAACCTCCACCGGAGATTCTTAGCACCCCCTGCCCCGCCGTTACCATGGTCGCCACCGTAGCCAGGAATAGCGGGGCCGCCGGGGACTGGGGGCCGTTTCTTTGTTACTGTCATTCATAGGGGGGTATTTGCCATAGTTGCCACGCTTGGCGAGCGGGTTGGCAACCGCAGTTTTTTTATTGTAATTTTGCTATTATCAGGAAGATGCTGCTGCCCATCTCCTGCCTGTTTCCCTTTGTCGCCTTTTACGACACCCACGGGAGGATATGGGGTAGTGGATATTCTTGACCGCCACTACACGGCCATGAGTGATGAAGGATAATGTCCTCGTGGAACCTTTGGAATACGCGTGCTGGCTTCTTCACTGCTGTGGGCATACACCTTCTCATTTTGTTTATTATAACTTTCTTCGATGTTAAAAATATTTTCATATGAAAACAAAATTTCGCGGCATTTTTTTCCGCGTACCGCCATAACAAAGCGCGGAATCTATCCAGCCAAATTTTTTCAAACGCTCGTTCAAAAACTGTCTGGTCGTCTTACGATAAACTCGTAGTTCTAGGTCTTCATTGATCACTCTTTTGACCGTGGTTCTGCTTAGGCCCATTTGAAGAGCTAAGATTTTTCGTTTACGAACAGGATTTCATTGCTTTGATGATCGCGGGTGTCCTAACTGTACGAGGTCAACCGGTCCTCTTACGATCTTCGAAGCTTGAATCTTCAGAGAATCGTTTGATAGTACGATAAACAAATCGTAGGGTTATTTTCAATTTTTGTAGAATATTGAAAATCTCCTTTGGCGCAACCACAGCGGTGCAACCCGATATCCGCTTCTCTATCTTCTTTCTTCGACCACTCCATATTTGAAAATGAATGAAAATGAATGTCTTTTTTATTTTCGTCAAGCGCAAACGCTATATTTTTAAAATTGGTGAAGTTGATCTAGACAGTATTCAAAAAATTTAAATAATAAGGTTTTGACAGAACTTATGACCCGACTAAGTATAAGTTCTACAACTATAAAATTCTAAAACAAATAAACATACCACCACCAGTAGACACCACCCTGTTACCTATTTCTGGAGCCAAATAGCAGTGCGTGCACTACTGTGATCCGATTAGAAGGGTATAGAGACTAAGTACAATCACAGGCTGTGAGTCATTCCATCTTATTCTGGTGAAAATCCATCTGTAGTCTTATTTATTTGAAATTGATTGCACGTGTCCATGCGCTTCAGATGCTACTATCATCAGGTACTACATCAGGTCGAATGTAAGTTTGTTTGTCACTTCGATTTAAAAAAAAAAAAAGACAAATTATATGGTTTTTCAATTGGCGCGGGTAGATTTTATCGGGCCGTGGACGCCATTTTGTTGTGGTGACATCTATCAAATCTTTTGTTTATTATTTAGTTACTTATGCCAAATCGATATTTAAACGTGGTAGAGCTATGCTGCAGCTATATTAGTAGTATAGTAGTAACACGAATGGGTCGGCTCGACCGGGGAAGGACCACTCTCTCACAGAATACCAGCGTAAAATAGCAGCATAACACTGCTGTGTTTCGTATGGTGACTATAGAGAACTGAGACCCTTTTTTTACTGGAAACGAGGCATTCTATCTTAGTCCTCACGAGTTACAACGCATATGAATTTTGATTCGTAATCGAAGATAGATGTAAATGTCTGTAGGCCACAGCAACCACTTACCATCAGGTGGACTGTGTGCTCGTTTGTCACCCTTATTCTATGGAAAAAAAAGGAAATTACACGATTCAACAGCACTTTCAATTGATAAAACTTTATTATATCTAAATGAGTGTTCGTTAGTGCAAACGTTGCGCGCATTGCGCCCACTTTACGGTAGACGTGTAGGACCTTCACAGTCGACTCTTCAACGTTTGGTGGCCAGCCAAATTTGAAACGACCGGTTCGGTAAATAATCAGCCAACATCCGTACGTTCAATGAACGCAGCATCGGCCGAGAACATCGTCCCGATTCGTGCACAGCAGAACCCGAGGCAGTGCGATTCCTCGCCGTGCACAAGAACTCGGCCTTTCGCAGGCTTGACTTAAGACTTGGCGAATTTTGCGTCGGGACTTAGACCTACACTCGTACAAGATCCAATTGGCCCAGGAGTTCAAAGTTCATGAACCTTAGACACCGCCGTTTGTTCGCTGATTGAATTGGGCTTCGAATCGTTTGAAAGAGGACCCCAATTTTGGCCGAAAAATCATCTTTAGCGACGAGGCGCATTTTTGGATGAATGGATGTGTTAACAAGCAAAATTGCCGTATATGGGACGACACCAATCCACGCGAAGTTCGCCTGATGATAATGCATCCTCAAAAAGTTACCGTTTAGTGTGGATTTTGGGCGTCATTGGTCCGTACTTTTCCGTCTGTGCCGTCAACGGCGAGCGCTACAGAACGATGATAAGCAATTTCTTATAGCCCAAATTGAACCATATGGACCTAGACGACATGTGGTTCCAGCAGGATGGCGTTACGTGCCACACAGCGGACGCCACGACATTATCCATGAGCGATTTGAGAGTAAGCTTATTTCTCGCAGGGGGGATGTGAGTTGGCCACCAAGGTCATGCAATTTGACCCCGCTAGACTTTTTCTTGTAGGTTTTCTTGAAGTCGTAAATATATACAAACAAACCATAATCAACCGATGCCCTAAACGTGAACATAACACAGGCCATCGCTCAAATTCGACCGGATCTATGCAGAGTAATTGTAAGTTGGACCATCCGATCGGTGCCACTGTAATTTGAACGATGTCATATTCCACACTTAATGGCACATGTGGGCCATTCAAATAAAAAAAAAGAATTTTGTTAATACCTCACAAATAGCTTGTTCTATTTCGTTTCAACATCTACCCGTCCCTATTGAAAAACCCTTTATATAGTAAAATGTTTTTAAGAGGTAAGAAGCACACAACTCATCTAATGGTCGATTCTGCAGTCTATAGGCACCTATGTCTATCCACGGGTAAAAATAAAAAGGCAGATTAAAAAGTTTTCCAATACTTCTCTAATTTCCAATACTACTCACTATACGAAACACAGTAGCCTTGTGCTGATATTTTATTTTAAAAATGTTATCTGTCGTCGACTGTCAGAGAAACTATAAGTAATAAATTTAATTTATTAATATCATTTTACTGGAAAGAGATCATTACTAGAGTTGTTAACATTTGGGTCGCAATTTTTCATCTATTATTGGTAAAATGCTTTTGAAGTTACATTTTCTATTGTTGCTGTATTTTGTTATTATTTTGTTTTCATAAATCATTAACGTAATTGTTAGTTTTGTTATGTTTTTGTCGTCGATTTTTGTCCTTTGATGTACTTAATGAAAGTAACCATTTCGGATTTGAACAATTACATTGGTGCAATATTAACATATCTCCACTAAGAGATTCTCAAGTCGACGTTCTTTTTTTATATAAAATAAGGGTGACAAACGAGCACACAGTCCACCTGATGGTAATTGAATGTTGTGGCCCATAGACATCTACATCTATCCTCAATAAAGAATCAAAATGCAGATGCGCTGCCACCCGTGAGGACTAAGATTGAATGCCTCTTTACCATTAAAAAGGGTCTCCGGTTCTCTACACTCACCATACGAAACACAGCAGTGTTAAGCTGCTATTTGACTCTGGTATTCTGTGAGAGCGTGGTCCTTCCCCGGTCGAGCCGACCCATTTGTGCTACAACTATACTACTAATATAGCTGCAGCATGGTTCTACCACATATAAAAGTCTACACTTACCAAACGAAACACAGCAGTATTATGCTGCTATTACGGTGGTATTCTGCGAGAGCGTGGTTCTTCACCGGTCGAGCAGACTCGTTCTTGCTACAACCATAATATAACTGCAGCGTGGGTCTACCACGTGTGTTTCGCGAACTATAGCAATAATTTTTACGTACTAGATCGGGTACGAGGAGTACCGAATACGCGCGATGGGCGTGTCTTGCGGCGGAAGACTAGCAGCTTCGTTTGCTGACTGCACACTACATTTGGCGCTGTCTGTGGGCTTACTACACTGGGAGCCCTACGCACAGCTCGACGATCTACGCTTGCATCACCTGCAGTGAGTACTGACTACTGACTCGATCTACGGCACTAGTACTATGTGCAACTCGACGATCTACGCCTGCATCACCTGCAGTGAGTACTGACCACCCACTACTGACTCGGTCTACAGAACTAGTACTATGTGCAACTCGACGATCTACGCCTCCATCACCTGCAGTGAGTACTGACCACTGATTACTGACTCAGTCTACAGCACTAGTACTATGTGCAACTCGACGATCTGCGTCTGCATCACTTGCAGTGAGTACTGACCACCCACTACTGACTCGGTATACAGTACTAGTAGTATGTGCAACTGGACGATCTGCGTCTGCATCACCTGCAGTGAGTACTGAGCACCTACTACTGACTCAGTCGACGACACTAGTACTATGTGCAACTCTACTATCTGCGTCTGCATCACCTGCAGTGAGCACTGACCACCCACTACTGACAATCTTGTTTAATACAATAATTAAAGTTGATGATAAACTTTAATTCAATATTTTTCCGAGGTTTCTCTCTTCTACTATACAGGTTGGTCCAAACAGTGAGGTTATAAAAATTTTTTTGATTCCTCACACCTAGGTGTGTCCGAAAATACCCTATGTATGTTCCGCGATATTTTGTAGTTTTCGAGTTATGATTTTTTTATCCTTTTTTTTTTTGAAAATGTTCACCCTAAACAGCCTAACATTAAAAAAATGTAATTGTGAGATTTTTTCCAAGTTTATTTGTTTGTAGCATGATCCTTATGAGTTGCCCTATTATGCATAAAATAATTAGCTTCCTAACATTCACCGAAGATACAATAATTTTAATCGAAACTTAAAAATTTTCTCTCAGGAGAGTGGGGCTTGAATTTTCAACATTAAATGAAAAATAGTAATAAATGATTTCATACTTTCTAATTACTTTTAAAAACTTGGCAGTACCTTAATCTTTCATAATAACATTAAAAAATGACACTTTATAGGCCAGTTAGAGACTTCTGAATTTACTCAGGCAGGAAACTACCTGAATAGTTAATTTGATTTAAAAAATCTTTTTATCATTTCTAGGGCTAAACTAAGATAGTAAATGCAACTCATAAGGATCATGCTACAAACAAAAAAACTTGGAAAAAATCTCACAATTACATTTTTTTTAATGTTAGGCTGTTTAGGGTGAACATTTTCAAAAAAAGGATAAAAAAATCATAACTCGAAAACTACTAAAAATCGCGGAACATACATAGGGTATTTTCGGATACCCCTAGGTGTGAGGAATCAAAAAAAAAATTTATAACCTCACTGTTTGGACCAACCTGTATATATATATGTAATTCACGACACACGACACAAATGCAAAAACTGTAAATCTTTTAAATAATGTAAAATATTTTCAACATATTCTCTAAATGTCTCACTATGATGAAATTAAGTATTTTATTGTAAGAATATAAAATTTTAGTTTTTTTCTTCGGCCCATCAAAGTACACTGCTGTCAAGGGCCTCTCGTTATAGAAAGAATTTGTCTTAAACATCACGCTTGGTGGGCGTCTCCAAAGGTCTCGCACCTATGACACTGCCTACTGCTCGTCGCCAGTCTGGGTATTTTATGTCTCGCCCAAAACAAGATAGTACACCGCCATCCATAGATGAAAAATGTCGGAAGAAACATTTCTACATATATATGTTTTTTCGCACATGTCTCAAGTCGCTAGTCTATAATCGCCTCTTGCGATACCCACGGTAAGAAATGGGTGATAGATTCTGTAACTTTGCCACCAGACACTATTTTTGTTCTCTTATGGATTTCTACTGTTGCCCATTTATAAAGGTTTGCGATAAAAATATAAATGTGCTATAAAATTAATAGGTTACAAGTATAAATAAAGCTCATTTTAAATATTTTTGGGTAGGAGTGTAACGTAGCCCTCTTATCCCTGGCTTCGATGCATTTTTTTTATTTTTATTTCCTCTGAAAGTAATTGTCCGATTTTAATGAAACATAGCACCGATAATCGATCTAGTATGAACTGTGCATAAATTTTCATGTCTCCAGTCAAAAACTTCACTTTTTATCAAGTCTCCATTGTTAAATAGTGAGGTTTGTATGTATACCAACACTTTTGTTTATGTAAAGAAGATTTAGAAATGTAATATAAGGACTTTAATATTTAATTAAATTCCTTATCCCTTAACTCTTAAAATAATATTTAATTTTATTACCGCACCAATTTTGTCCGCAACACGGATAAAACTGGGAACCGTTATATGACTGTCAGAGGACAGGCTTCTTGACTGGCGGGAGGAAGCGCGAATTTAAATAAATTAAAATTACAAGTCTAATTTTAACTTCAACTGCAACTGAAGGAAAATTCTTTAATTTTTATACGAATTAAAATATAGAATAAAGAGAAATGCCGTCTGATAGTGACGGCATGGATAAAGATATGGATCACGACGCGGGCGGGAAAAGGAAACCGCCAAAACGTAATCAAGACCTGCAGCAGGAAAATTATGGTTTTTATAAACCATACTATAAATTAAATTATAAAAGAGTTTTCCCTGAGTCAATGGGAATGGCTGAATACACGGTTTTTATTGAGAGTCGTAAAGAAGGAAATAAACTTGGCAATACGAATCCCTTAATGTTGGCGGGAATCTTCAAAACGAAATAAAAGGAGTCACTAATATAAGAAGAATAAACGCTTCCAAAGTAGGGGTGGTGTTTGCGCGGGCGAGTAACACTAACGACTTTTTGTAAAATGAAAGTTTCTTAGAAAAGTATGATTACAAGGCATTTATACCAGCAAGGGCGGTGGAAACAATCGGGGTACTCAGGTATGTACCCATTAGCATAAGTAATGAAGAGCTGTTTAAAAAACTATCATCGAAATATGAGGTCGTTGCAGTGCGTCGTTTCACAAAAAAAGTAAATGGTCAGATCAAACCGTTCAGTTCAGTAAGTGTAACTTTTTTGTACAAAAAAGCCCGCCAGCCACTCCTTGGTACAACAAAAAAGAGATTAAAAATAGAAAACTCATTACGACTGTAAACCGAATGAGATTTGGACATAGCAGAGTAGCCGCCCACTTACATCATTTGGGAATGAAAGAAAATGCAAATTGTGAATATTGTGGAGATACGAAAGGAGACCTAAAACATCTGGTTTTTCAATGCAGTCAATTTGGTTTGAATAGATTACTCCTCATTAATTCCATTCAAGATATTAACAATGATAAAGTTCCTGATACTTTTCAAAGTTTACTAGCTGATGAAAAAATTCTTTCGACCACTATATTCCTTTATATCGGGTGTCCAAGATATATAAAAATGAGAACAACGTGATATTAATCAATAGTGCAAACGTAAACAAACTGTGAATCAATGTGAAATGAAAGTGAATTTTTGATGAATGTATCGTAAAGTTAATATATTGTAACTTCATGCTCAGAAGGGCTAGAACCCAGAGCCGTAAAGCCAGTTAAAAAAAAGGATAAAACTAGTTAATTAAGGATGCATTTATCTAGATTCCGTGATTCTACTAATAAGTCCTTGGTGGTGAACTTCATGACCGTGTAGTGGTGGTGTCAGAATATCCACTACCCCATATCATCAAATCAGGGGAAAAGCAGCAGCGTCTTCCTAATAACGACTTAAATAAAAAAAATACGGTTGCCAACCCGCCTGTCAAGCGTGGCAACTATGGTAAATATCCCTCGTATGTGGCAATCTATGGTGGAGGTCTATTTTCAGCAGCAGACTAATAGGCTGTAACGGTAACGGTAGGAAAGGCAATATAGGCTTCGTAGCTTCCGATTTCACTGTTTAGAGTTTAGACCGTTTTTAAATGGCTAGGAGGCATTCTTTTAGTTCATACAAATATCCCTATGAGGTAGACCTATGTTTAGCATTGGACTTTAATAGGCTGTAACGCGATGATAATGAGGTTATGGTATCGTTCCGCCTGCAGCTTTTATTGTTCATTTTTGGGCAGATCGATGGATTTGCACGTAACTGGTCTGGGTCCGTTGAGCGGCATGTGCCCGCTGGTGAGTGCGTGGGCGCGCGGCGCCGGCGCGGCGCACGCGGCGCCCGCGCTGCTCGCGCAGCTCACGCACGAGCTGCACACCGCGCTAACGGAACTGCCTCTGTGGGACCTTCTACACGGCAAGCAATAGCGATCTCAACGCTTCTACGCACCTTGTACACACTTAAAACACGCAAAATTTAAGTCACTATAGCATCATTTCATTCCAAATTACACTTTATTATATGCACGTTTTAAAAATCAAGTAAGCTCTGTCAATAACTGAGAAGAAGCGGCAAGAAACAAATAAACTGTTTTTATGACCTTGAAAAAGAGAAAAGTAAAGGAAAATTTATTTTAATAGAAAATCACAGAAGACTGCACTCAAAAATAAATTATATTTAAAATATAAGCCTAAAATAAGATCAATTTTATAAATAATACCCATGTTGTTAAGTCAAAATTTATATTCTACCGTGGGTTTGTACCCACGGTAGAATATAAATTTTGACTATTGTTAAATTCAAAATGCAAATGCTTTCTTTTTTTATTTCAAATAAAAATACAAAATAGATTTCAATGAAAGTAATTAAATATAAAATGCAAAATACCTATTTTCAAAATAGTTTTTTTTATTAAATAGAATACTTTATTTCACTGATTTTATCACTAGTATTTGTTCAAAGAGTTCATCTTTCATGTTCCGCTTATGTGACCACATAATCATTCCACCAAACAAAAATAGTAGTTCAACAAGTGCAGAACTTGGTAAACAAGTAGTTTTTTTTTTACGTTTGGATATCATTTCAAGGATTCCAAAGTTTAGTCTTCATCTTTTAAATATCGTAGTGTTTTCAGGTATGTAGTAGTATTGGCATTATTGCTAGCTACTGAAGAATCAGAGTCCTCAAACAAATGATAATAGAATTCAGTCTTTTCCTTCTTTTTATTATAGTTAGTATGTTGGGAATTGGATATGAAATATGAATTAAAAAATTTTACAAAACCGTTTGGCATTTTACAAATACTAAATCTTTATATATAAAAATTACATGTCACGTTGTTTATCCGCGATGGACTCCTAAACTACTGAACTGATTTAAATTACATTTTGCACACTGTGTGCATTTTGGTCCAACTTGATAGTTTTTATCCCGATAAATGACCCTCAAATTTTTTTATTGCGAATTTAACCCTACGATGGTAACATAATTTACATGAACACGCATAGTAACAGGGGTGTCACATCACCCCACGATAATAAAATGAACAAAAAACTTTTGTTTAATAAAAAATTAAACTTTTTATTCTTGAAACAAATTTAAAGAACACTCTTCATTAGATCAATCAGTAACTAAATGAAATTAGATTTAAAAAAAACAGCTGCATTGCTAGTTTTTTTAGAAAATTACTTCAAAACTTATTAGCTGGTGTGTTCGGATGCTTAGCTTCTTGATAAAGAATCATAGAGTTGATCCCTGCTTGATCTAACATACCAAAAAAAAACCTAAGACGCCAACGTCGAATACCCCTCGCAATCGTGTAATTGTGCATCATTTTGTCAAAGGTATTGACGCCTCCCTTTGTCGCATTGTAATCATCAATTATAACTGGCTTATACGTTGTGGGATTGATCTCTTTCTTATTGTGCATAGTAGATAGCAATATCACTGATTTGTTTACCTGTAGAGTACCTGCAGAATGAAATTGACGTGTTGCCGCTCCCACCGCGCAACGACTACTGATGACTCACTCACGGTAAGACAATGAAATACACAAAATGCTAGAGCGAGACAGTAAATAATTTTCAATAAATTGGCGCGTTATTGCTACCGGTGGGGTGTTGGGGCACACCTGTTACCAACCTAGGGTTAAGGATTTTTTCATAGGAAGGGTCGTCGGAAAGGGCAGAACAACGTCTGCCTGGCCAGCTAGTATTACTATAAAGTATTTCAAATAAAATAGAAAATAGATTTTGAAAAAAGTGTTTCAAATGCAAAATAAAAATAGGTATTTTGTATTTGCATTTTAAATATATGTATTTAAAATAATTTACATCTCTGGTTTTTATCTTATTTTGGAAATAAATAATATAGATTGAAATATGGAAACATTCTAATACTAAAACATTGATTAACATTAAATTACATTTATCAAAACAACTTTACACTCTTGTAAACTAAATATTTTTTATGTACATATTGAGGAACTAAAACTTTGTAGGTCTTTAATTTGTTTAACTGAAAATCGTATTTATAATATTGAGGAATAAACGGCAGACTGTTGTTATTTATGTAGTTGTACTTTTATAAGCAATATACTTACAAGAAATTAACAAAGATATTGTTACCTTAGTTCTAGTAATGAGATGTGACATGAGAAATAAAACTGCTAAAATATCGTTTAAATATCAAATAATCGTTTAAATACATACATGTCTTAAATATTCAGAGCTATTAAAAGCAGAGTATTTACTGAAATGTCGAATTTAATTAAAGAATATTTAAAATATTTCAATACTATAATGTAATATAAATGCAGTTCACTATACGAAATATAAATCAAATGTTGTGCAATCTGTTGTGTGACAATCTTATTGTGCTAATTAGTATGAATGAAAATGTTTGCAGAATAGACGTAATTAGCGTAAGGAAAAGTTGCGTTTAATTTAGCAATGTTACACTATTTCGCAGGTTTTATACACTAAAAAATATTTGATTATTCTTATATACCTTCTAATTGCAAGTATGTACCATATGTTAAAAAAAAAATTGTTTTAAATATTTCTATTGGTTGTGAGTGGCTTGACTTTTGAGACTGTTGTAAATTGTTTTTAATATACATCATGTTATTAAATAAAATTGTTCTATGTTTGCAAATTTTGCTATTTAATGCGTTTTAATTAAATTTTATTAACCTGGTATAAATTGGAATTAGAAAAACATACATAAACACTCACGATTGTCACCCAGAGGAGTAGGCAGAGACTACGGACTTCCATTTGGCACGATCCTGACACACCTCTCTCACCTCCTTTACATCCATATATCTATCTACCTACGCATACATGGTCGCCGGTTAAGAGTACACTTAACCTGGCCCATCTTCAATATATCGCCACCTTGGTGGATAAACTTTCGCCTAGGACGTCCCTTCCCGACACTGCCGTTCACATATGCAACATGAATTTGCTTTGTCTTGCTTTCCTTATTTATGCTTTCTAATTTTTTTTATAGGATAGGGGACTAACGAGCACACAGTCCACCTGATGGTAAGTGGTTGCTGTGACCCATAGACATCCACATCTATCCTCAATAAAGAATCAAAATGCAGATGCGTTGTCACCCGTGAGGACTAAGATGAAATGCCTCTTTTCCAGTAAAAAGGGTCTCCGGTTCTCTGCACTCATCATACGAAACACAGCAATGTTAAGCTGCTATTTTACGCTGGCATTCTGCTAGAGCGTGGTCCTTCCCCGGTCGAGCCGACTCATTCGTGCTACTACTATACTACTAATAGAGCTGCAGCATGGCTCTATCACGTAAACAACCACGTAAGTAAATTACGAAAAGGGAAAAATATATTTGGTAAATCTAAATGTGCATGCCTTAAGCGCTCATGTGACATGTAAATTTTTAAAGGACTTTAAATACACACAAGATTTTACTAATAACCTTAATATTATACTTCCATTTTCCGATAATTTTATGTCATCCGTCAATAAAAAAAAAGTTTGTAAGATCCAAAAGTTTACGACTCGTAATGCTCATATGTTCGTAAAAAGATGTAAATTGTAGTTCTATTTGTCGAAGAATTCCAGTAGCAGTCACCAAAGTACACCTTCAAGTCACTCTCATCAAGTCCGTAGGTAAGGTCTCGTCATAAAAACTCTGCACACCTAGTTCTACTCGCCGACGAGTCCCAGTAGCATTTACCGAAGTAAACCTTCAAGCCAATTCTCAAGTCCGGAGCAAAAGGTGTCATCATAACTATCAAAGCGAGGCCAAACTCGGCACACCTATTTCTACTCGTCAAGGAGTTCCAGTAGCAGTCACCGTAGTACACCTTCAGGTTACTTCGTCAAGTCCGGAGATAATAAGGTCCCTCATCATAACTAACAAAACGATCCCAAACTCGGCACACCTATTTCTACTCGTCAACGAGTTCCAGTAGCATTCACCGTACCATTTTTTACTGCACTACAAATCTTATATCTATATCTTGCCTATACCAATGAAAGGGTTAATTATCATACAGTCCTACTCCCCGCGGTATCATGCTAAGAACGCTGACTGCGTTTCCCCGCTGAATGGCTATACGTAGCCTTTGAGCGAGAAAAGAACAAGCCCTCTTATCACCAGCAGCAACGACCAGTCGCGAACGGAGTATTTAAATATATTAAAAATAAATTGAGTTGAAAAACTGATATTTTCAAAAGCTATCGTGTTTACCCATCCATGTGGACTTTATAAATCCACACCATAAGCCACTAAAACCACTTTTTTATGCAAAAATAGCAATAAATCGATTTAAAAAGTTCAACAATCATTTTCTGACTATGTGCTTTTTATATCACTTACGAGGGCTGCACTAAAAGTATCAGGAATGGAATATTTCCACTGTTCCTGTCATATTAATTTTTTTTTAATTGTAAAGTCCTTGGTTTTAAAAATCGAATACCATTTATTTATTTAAAAATAGATTCTCGGTCTTGTCACAAGGTTTTGTCAAACTTGTTTAGTCGTTGAGAAAATAGAATTGACGCGAGAAAATTCAAGAGCGATGATTTATTATGACTTTCGAAGTGGTTTAACACAAAAACAGTGTGTTGACCGGATGATTTCTGCATTTGGTGATGAAGCCCCATCCAAAACCACAATTTATCGCTGGTTTGCTGAATTTCAACGTGGACGTGTCAAGCTCAGTGATGATCCCCGTCAAAGTCGTCCAAAAACTGCAGTCACCCAAGAAAACGTTGATGCTGTGCGTAAGCTGATTGAGGAAGATCGACATGTGACATACCGCGAAATTCAGGCAACATTGGCATGAGTCATATACAAATAATCTTGCATGAACAATTAGGTGTAAAAAAGTTGTTTTCCCGATGGATACCGCATTCGCTCTGTGAAGAGTAAAAAGCGGCTCGCGTTA